GGGGTCCCCAGCTACCACCTCCCTGCTGAGTGGAGGAGTATGGACTACCTAATCCCCTTACTCTTTCACACACAAAAAAAGGGTTACCTAGAAATAAAGACAACCAAATGTCTGACAATTCCTTTATTAAAAACAAAAAATATCCCTCACTGTAAATCGATCAGCAATCATGATGTCCACCAGAAAAAAAAAAAAAAAAAAAGGAGGGTAGTGACACCAGCACTGTCCTTGACCCTTTGCTTACATGGCAGGGATTCCTGGCAATGCAGCCATTCCTAGGGACACAACAGGTGGAACCACCCGCTGCATCCTTAGGAAGCAGTGACAATGGGAAGCTATCATATATAGGAGGGGCAGAAATACCGCTTCTATATATAATGTTTGGAAGGACTGTAGGGGGGTGAACAGGCAACATTCAGACGGTCCTCCAAACAGCCAAAGTTCAGTTCAAACCGTCAGCTCATCCCTTCTAGCATAAAGTGTTTTTGATGTGGCCAGCCTCCAGATGTGCTTTCTCCTTGTGAAAATGACATGACTCCCCCAAAACTGTTAAATGTGTAGTAATAATTTGCAGGAAAAAGTTCTCTAGCAATCAAAAGTTAAGGCTAAAATCCAGTAAAAGAAATACATAGACGTTAATGATTTTTACCTACCAAATGCTTGTTACGATTTTGTCCAGTCAACCTTGTGATCTAAGGCAGCCTTTTTCAAAAGGGGTGCCTTCAGGTTTCTTCAGGGTACCCTTGGCAAAATGCCTAAAAATTGGCCAAAAATTTTACACAAGCCAGGGGTTTGATCAAGCCTGCCTTTTAGTTATACAAAGACACAGGTTCTCTTTGTGCACCATTACAGCCATCCAGTCGCTGGTGTCCTAACAACCAATATCATCATTGGTTGATCAGGAGGATGTCGGGAACCTGCACAGCATCCTTGCTTGCCCCTCCCCTTCCCCTCTCCGTCAGTGCTGGGGTCACATTAGCTGAGGGAGAAGAGAAACATTGGAATACTAGTCAGTACCAGTGTGCAAAAGTGTATTTGCTTTGGAAGAATAAATCCCCTCTAAAATTGGATGTCCTATGTGTGTGGATGTTGCTGAATTATGTAAAACTATTAGTTTCATTTTTTTACATTTTAGCATGAGATGCCTCACAATTGTCCATAATTTTAAAGGGTGCCTTGACTGTTAAAAAAAAAAAAAAAATTAGGTCACCAGTCTGGCTGTGTGGCAGGCATCCTTATAATCAGTGTTTCTCAACCTTTATTTTTTTCAAAGTTAAGAACTCCAGTTTGATCACCAACCTTTTCCTAATCTATGATTGGACAAATGAGCATCAGAAAACTGATGAAGACATCACTCTGCTCTCCTGTAAATGTATATTTAAACTGTTGACGTAAAGTGCAGTGCAAAACAATCCTGATTGGCTGTAAGTGCAGCTCCTCCCTTTTGCAGTCTGAGTGGTGCTTTGTGAGATTTGCATATTAGCAGATATTCAAGTATTTGGGCTTAGGTATATCCAATTTTAAATTGGTTGTAAACCCTTACATATACCCAGTGAAGTAACTGGCCTCAAGTGATACATAAGGATGAAACAAATCCTCCTGAAAAAGCTATACCTGTTTATCTGTAGCAATCTCTCCTGTACATCCTTCTAAAACACACAGATCAAAGGATTTTTGTCTGCTCCAGAAGGAGAGAAATGTGTAACCTGAGTGGAAGGAATGGACACACTCCCTCTATGCAGCACCATTGGAAAACATGCAAAGCTGAGGCTGTCAATCAGCCATTTTATGCTGTAGGGGGTCGAAGCCTGGGATTGACTGGTGTCACTAGGTGCTTTGGATTAAGGCAAGGACACACTATAGAAGGATATGCATTGTTCATTTTTCATGCAAGAGGTTTACAACTACTTGAACTTTTTCTTGTTTTTTGTATCAATGCATAACTGGAAGATATTGTGTTTTATCTCTCTTATATAGTGCACATATTGGATATATTGCTTGTGAATACAAGGCTCTGGAGTTCCAGTGTTCATCAAGGATCTCATTTAAAGAGATACGGTCACCTTGCCCATTCTGTCTCATATCTTTGTAAAGGGCTGTCCTCACCCATGGTACTCACCCTGAATGCAGTGCTTCCTCACCACTACAACCTCCATGGTGTTGGAAGAAGGAATAGTGCTCCACGGTTGGTGTTAGTGGAAGGAATGGTGGCTGATGGTTGGTGTCAGCAGGAGGAATATTGCCCCAAAGTCCAGATAAAGATAGGTAAAGAGCCACATCCAGCCCGTGGGCCACAGTATAGAGACCACTGCTCTAAGGCTATATTGGGACCAACTGCTCCCGAGCTCATGTGGCCCCAAGGCCCACTTTAACTGTGCCCCTCCCATTGGCTCTGCAAGTAATAAAACAGTATTCTTTTTTTATTTGCTTTCTTTTTTGCTCTTTAAGTCCTTGGGACATCTTTGTAAATAGAAAAGGTTAACATTTTAAAAAAATTTAAACTTATAAAAGTAAATTACATTTAACTAAGTGACACCATGTACATTGCTGGCTTCTTCCTACAAATGCTTCATGCCTGTTGCCTCAGGCTCCAGTACTTTCTGGATCATGTACAGTTGTGTTCAAAATAATAGCAGTGTGTTGAAAAAAGTGAATAAAGCTCAAAATCCTTCTAATAGCTTTTATTTCCATACACACAAATGCATTGGGAACACTACACATTCTATATTCCAAATCAAAACATGAAGAAAAATATATCAAATTTGTGTTGTTCCTCTAAAAAAAAATTGAAGAAAAGTGAATATTAGACTGTTCAAAAAAAATAGCAGTGTTTGTATTCTTCTTTACAAACTCAAACATTCACTGAATAAACTGAAAAATGTTTGAAGATTTTGCTTTCCTTTGAATCACTTAATATTTTCGTTGTAGAAGCACTGTTTCTGAGAACTGCTGTACATCTGTGTTGCATGGAGTCAACCAACTTCTGGCACCTGTGAACAGGTATTCCAGCCCAGGATGATTGGACTACATTCCACAGCTCTTCTCTATTTCTTGGTTTTGCCTCAGAAACTGCATTTTTGATGTCACCCCACAAGTTTTCTATTGGATTAAGATCCGGGGATTGGGCTGGCCACTCCATAACATCAATCTTGTTGGTCTGGAACCAAGATGTTGCACGTTTACTGGTGTGTTTGGGGTCGTTGTCTTGTTGAAACACCCATTTCAAGGGCATTTCCTCTTCAGCATAAGGCAGCATGACCTCTTCAAGTATTCTGATGTATTCAAACTGATCCATGATCCCTGGTATGCGATAAATAGGCCCAACACCGTAGTATGAGAAACATCCCCATATCATGATGCTTGCACAACCATGCTTCACTGTCTTCACAGTGTACTGTGGCTTGAATTCAGTGTTTGGGGGTCGTCTGACAAACTGTCTCCGGCCACTAGACCCAAAAAGAACAATCTTACTTTCATCAGTCCACAAAATGTTGCGCCATTTCTCTTTAGGCCAGTCAATGTGCTCTTTGGCAAATTGTAACCTCTTCAGCACATCTTTTTTCCAACAGTGGGACTTTGCGGGGGCTTCTTGCAGACAGCTTGGCTTCACATAGGCGTCTTCTAATTGTAACAGTACTCACAGGGAACTTTACACCTTCTTTGATCTTCTTGGAGCTGATTGTTGGCTGAGTCCGCGCCATTTTGGCTATTCTTCTATCCATTCGAATGGTAGTTTTTCGCTGTCTTCCACGTCTTTCAGGTTTTGGTTGCCATTTGAAAGCATTTGTGATCATTTTAGCTGAGCAGCCTATCATTTTCTGTACTTCTTTATATGTTTTCCCCTCTCCAATCAACTTTTTAATCAAGGTGTGCTGTTCTTCTGAACAATGTCTGGAACGACCCATTTTCCTCAGAATTTCAGAGAGAAATGCACTGTAACCAGCATGTACAACATTTGCTGCCTTCCTTCCTTAAATGAGGGCAATAATTGCCACCTGTTTTTCAAAGAATGAATGACCTCACTAATAGAACTTCACACTGCTATTATTTTGAACATGCCCCTTTCAATTAGTGATTCAATTACACAGAATCAGCAGCATGCATGTCATGACTGTTGGGTCTGTTGGATTTCTATTACTCTACTACACCTGCCAGTAAATTATTTGCCATGTAGAAATATCGTTTCTACCAAAAACAGTGATTGATCAGGTTAGTGATGTCTGACTGCTATTATTTTGAACACAACTGTACCTGAATCTAGCATGAATTAAGAAAGTCAGAACTAGTCCCTGGCTTTCTAAATGTCTTGGAAAATCCAGTCATATTTCCTGACTCTGTTCCTGTCCCCTTGGGAGTTTTGGGTGTTCCTGCTCATCTTTGTGTATTCCAGCTACTCTTGTGATATTCTCCATAAATTAAATAAATATAAAAATTCAACAAGGAGCATGGGAACCTATCATAATGGAACACCTGAGCGCCTACACTGTGGGCAGAGGGTGACGATGCTTGCAGAACCAGGAGTTTCTGAATACCTTATCAACATGGTCTCCAAAAGACATAAGGATAAATGGTTTCAAGAGACAGTTACTGGGAGATATGAACTGCATACACTTGCAGGAGCTTTCTCGGCTGAACTTGGGACAGTTCTGAGAGGCAAAGTTACGGGACTTTCCAATAGTGCTGAATTTAGCTGACCTCTTTGTACATCCGGCACATTTATACTGTCTAGCAAGACTGCTAATCATAGTGACTGGCCAATAGGAACATCAGGTGGGATCTTCCCCCCAAAAACTCCAACACTACCTAAACATGTTATAAATGTGCCTGTCAGAACAGCCTGGTTTGGGAGAATACTGCAGTTAAATAAAAGTACATATAACATTCCCTCTTCCCTGTCCACCATGACCTCAAATATAAGTGTCTGACAGACTGTCCTTTTAAAAGTGCAAAGCGGGCAGCAGACATAGAAAGCAAAGATCAAAACAGATTCCACCCCTAGCCTAGTAGGCTGGTTTGGGCTCGTTGGTATGTACTTTACGCTTGTGCTTAGACAGGGTGGCATTGTCAATAAAAGACTTCTCACAAAGAGGACATGGGAAAGGCTTTTCCCCCGTGTGAGCCTTTTGATGCTTCAACATGGTGGCCTTACATGTAAATGCTTTCTCACAGTACTTGCAGACAAATGGTTTCTCCCCTGAGTGCAGCCGCTGGTGAACAACCAGGCTGGCGTATTGGCAGTAACTCTTGCCACACACATTGCACACGAATGGCTTCTGTTCGGCATGCATGCCGGAGTGCTTGACCACGCTGGATTGCCGAGTGAAGCCTTTCCCACACACGGGGCATGCGTAGGGCTTTTCACCAGTGTGGACTACCTGATGAAGTACAAGGTGCTGGTGATTGATGAACCTCCGTCCACACTGGTTACAGGGAAAGGGTCGCTCGCCTGTATGAGTTCTCTTGTGAGTGTTCAAGTGGTTCCTACAGGAGAACCTTTTACCACATTCATTGCATGGAAATGGACGCTGTCCAGTATGTATCTGCAGGTGTCTCTCAAGAGATGACTTACTGCCAAATACTTTCCCACAGACCTCGCAGGGAGGAGATGTTTTTTTTCCTGATTCTGACTTGTGTTTCGTGGCCCTTTTATAGTTCGCTGTTGGTGGTAAATAGTCCTGATCCATACAACCTGCTGGAAGAAGGACAGTTCAGAATCTCCATAGTAATGTGTGCTATATACATGCTTTAGAAGTCCATCCAGTTCGAACTGTTAAAGGCCATCCTCACACAAAATAGATATCAGTTATACATGGGCACTGGTGCAATAAATTACCAGCCAACCACTTAAATTTTTTGGAGACTTTAATGGCACCTTCTGCCTTCTCTTACATAGCCTTAAAGTGAACCTGTGCCTTGGCCATGCAAGACAAAGCAATAGGTTCACTTTGATGGGTATCTCCACAGAAGCATATACCTACTTTTCTGTTGCTCACCCACCACTGTGTTCAGCCACTGGCAGCAAAAGTATTTATTTATTACAGGTACTATATAGCGCCATCAATTTACGCAGTGCTTTACATATATATTGTAAATTCACATCAGTTCCTAACTCTCAAGGGGTGTACAGTCTAAAGTCCCCAACTCACAACTATACATATACATACTAGGGCCAATTTAGACAGGATCCAATTAACCTAGCAGCATGTTTTTGGAGTGTGGGGAAAACCAGAGTACCCGGAGGAAACCCACGCAGACACAGGGAGAACATGCAAACTCCAGGCAGGTGGTGCCATGGTTGGGATTCGAACGACCCTGGTACTGCCAGGCGGAAGGGCTAACCACTTCCACAACAGTAAGCTATATGATTTGGTGAAGTCATGGCAGGGCTATGGACTCCTTATGTGACTTAGAAACACAGAAACATAAAATGTGATGGCAGAAATACGACCAAGTGGTCCATTGAGTCTGCCCTTTTTTTAATTTATACATGTTTTTGTATTTTTTTTTTTTTACTTTTTTGTCAGGAGTATAGATCAATGTTTGTTACAGGCATATTTGAAGCCACTTACTGTTAACTGATGCACTACCTTTTCAGGAGGTCTATTCCAAGCATCAACTATCCTTTCAGCAAAATAATACTTTCTAAGATTAGTTTTAAACTTTGCTCCTGTTAGTTTAAGGTCATGTCCCGTGTTTTTGATCTTGGCTTCATATTAAAAATACTGCCCTCTTGAACCTTATTCACCCCCTTGATGAATTTAAAGGTGTCAGTCATGTCTTCCCATTCCCTTCTATCCACCAGACTGTACATAGTAAGTTCATCAAGTCTCTCTTGATATGTTTTGTCCCTCAGACCTGTCACCATTTTTTATTGCCCAGCTCTGGACTCGTTCTATCAATATCTTTTTTGTAAGTGAGGTTTCCAGAACTGGACACAGTATTCTAAAGGAGGTCTCACTTAATATCTATACTTCATTCTTTGGGTATGTATTGACAGGCAAATGTGCATAACGTCAGCCCTCTTCCTATGTAGGACTATATTTCCCAGCAGTCAAAATGACACTCAGAAGAGCTGTAAGTGCTCCACAGAGGTAGGCATTGCTCGCACTTTCTACAGGGTGACAACACCTGAGCACCTACACTGTGGGCAGAGGGAGACGATGCTTCTAGAATTTGAGCAACAATCTTGCAGAGTTGTCAACCCTCACCAGGAAGTTACAAGTAAAATGAAGGATCACAGGTAAGATCTGCTGCAAATATGTGGAGGTGAACCTAACTGCCTATCCAGACAATTTAGATGCACTACATTGCCATTCAGATGGGCTGCAAACACATATTTCAATAGACATCGCACCACAACATACATATGGTTTACAAGAGTGCTGTGCTGCTCACTGTAGATGCACTGAGATGCCATTCAAAATTAAGTGGCACTACAATGTTTCCTGCGTTAATGCAATAGTGTGAACAGGCCCATAGAAACTACATAAAATTAAAGAATGAGAAATGCACACATTATATCAAAAAAATAAAAAACATGTTTGCCTGGACATACATTTAAGTTAACAATGTGTTTACCTGGACTGATTGTGTCTCCAGATATTGACACATATGAATCTTGGCTTTCCTCTGGCTCCTCTTCTATGTATTCGTAAACTTGTTTCCCATTAGGAGAACGAGGGAATTCTGGAGATTCTGGAGTGACATAAAAAAATAAAGCTTTTTAATATACAAAGGAAAGGCTTCCTCTATATGTATTAAAACTCAACAAGGTTCATCGGGTCATCTGTAGGTGGATACCCTGAGCAAACAGCATTTTAGAGAATTTCTATGTCCCTGCTCCAGAGCAGCTCATAAGCCAATATTCCTTCCATAGTCATACATGTGTACCCCCTAGTGTGCATACAGGGGTATGACAGAAGAAGATCAGCTTCTAAGAGAAAATGGCACTTTTCAATGAAAGGGCGAAGGGAAGATTTACTTTAAAACTCAACTCTGTTCCCCCTCAGGATCTTCCCTGTACCCAGAGAGACCCCCTGCTTTATGTTATGCTCTACTCCAGGCTGGTGGTCTTCCATGATGCAGAGAGCAGTAATCAACCCCTGCTTTCTTCAGCATTAGACTATAAGTACATGGTGCTGTGGTGACAGGGAATCCTAGATGCCCTGTACTCGCAGTATGTCCTCAGTCCTCCTGAAACAGTAATGGACTTGTCAGGGCAGGAGCGGTCGAATGGGCAGGCAGGCCTAATGGTAAGGTCACGCAGCGACTGATGACAGCCGCTACTCACAGACCAGAGTCCCTCAGGGCGCGGAGTCTAAGCCCCAGGCTGCCCTTCACCAGGGTCCCTGATGGTGGGGATGGACTTGACGCAGCCCGAGACCAGGTCGCGGCCCCCGAGTAACCCCAGCTGCGGTAACGACTGCCGCCAATGGCATACAGCTGGTGGGAGCCAGATGGAAAACGTATAGCGTGGTCGGACAGGCCGGGTCGATAACAACGGAGCAAATAGTACAAGATGGTAGACAAGAATACTCAGGTCAGGGGCCGGGTTCAGCAACGGGAGGTCAGTTAATGGGATAAAGCAGAGAATAGTCTTGTCCAAGCCGAGTCGGTTACCAGGAGAGCAACGAGAACAGAACAAGAGCTTGCTGCAAAGGAACATACAGGACACGAATGCAAAAAGCAACTGCAGACAGCAGGCTTAAATGTGATCAGCCACACCCTTCTGGAGGAGGAGCCGCAGAGGCCTGAAAGCATAAAGGCTTCCACCATGCTTTGCAGGAACTTAAGATGGATGCCAGCACATGGAGCAACACAATCTCTGAGGAAAGGTAGGACCTTGACAGGACTACAGTATAGACCAGTGTTTACCCTAGAGTTCCTTCTGAGGATGCTAGGGGTTCCTTGAGCTTTGAGCAATGGTGGATTGATCTCCCACCTTCGCCGATCACCAATGCAAGTGGATATTTTTCAACTACTTCATAAAACTGACCACTAATGTTAGAGTGGACACTAAGTACACTGCATTACTTATTCTTATATTTAAAACTTTCTTTGACGTATTAATCAGACTAATGTATCAAGAAATATAGGCATAATCATTTTTTAGCAAGGGTTACCCAAGAACCTGAAAATGTTTTTAAGGGTTCCTCAGGGGTAAAAAGACATAAAGGCTGGTATAGACAATGACCGTTCTGCATGAATGTTCTGCTCTGTCAGGAACCTTTTCCTTATCCCAAAGGTGGAAGTGGCTGATGTGAAGATGTCCATATAACGCAAGTAACTGATTACCTGAATCCACACTGTCTACGGTGTCATCTGAGGACTCTCCACTGGGTTCAGGTTTAATACACGAGGAAATAAGGCTGAATCCAGATGCACATTGGGATTCCACAAAAGGTAGGTGAACATTTACAGTAGATGGTTGAGTTTTTTTTCTGGGCTTCCTGGTATAAACTCTGAAGAAGAAGGAAGTGCTGATGTCCCATCTAAAAAAAAAAAAAAAAAAAAAAAAAGGAGTAGACATCTCTCAACTTATGTGGAAATGGTTACCAAAGTAACTACATATCTTATTAGACAAAAGTTTTGTTCTCAATACAAATCCTAATGGGCAAACATAAGTGAAGTACGAGGTGGCTATCTTCTATTGCTGTGGATTTTGGTCACAGACTAACCATCACCTCCCACCCAAACCAACTTGAGAAGCTTGGATAGAGATCTCACATACCATAAACCTGCTAACAAAATGTGGGCGCTTAAATTCATGTCATGATAAATCCCATGAACAGAGGCTACATTCAGTATGAATCGTATGTAAAAATGATCAGCAGATGAAGAGCTGAAGGCTGCGATATACAGTTATATACAAACTATGTGATGGGTGCTCTGACAAATCACGAGTTTAGGAGGCAGGAGGGGGGTAGAATGAAGAGTGACAATTACAGAAAAGATTTAAAGTGATAATTTGTAAAGCTTAATTATTTTTAAATTAGGATAGCAAACATGGCATTAATTACCTGCTCAGTGAAATAGTTTTGCACAACAGAGCCCCAACACTCCTCTTCTTGGTTTCTGACAACTCCTGTTCATCCAGTGGCCCCACAAGAAGCTGTTTCCTATGGAGGCACTCATGCGGGCTCCTTCCCGAGTCCTGCTGCCTGCATCCCTAGGTACAGCCCCACCCCCTGCTCCCTTGTCTCAGAGTTTGAATGACAGCAGAATGAGCCAATGGCTGCCACTCCTATCTATATGCCTTGTGAGGAAGGACAGAAACAGGAGAGCCACTGCTCTTAGGCACAGCACTGGCTCATAAAAAGGTAATGTGGAGGGGGGGGGGCACTTTAAGTGTATGTAAAGCCAAAATCTAGTTACTGCTATGTCAGACTCGGTTTCACTTTCCATCTAGAGCAGTGTTTCTCAACTCCAGTCCTCATGGACCCCCAACAGGTCATGTTTTCAGGATTTCCCTCAGATGAAACAGCTGTGGTAATTACTAAGGCAGTGAAACTGATCAAATCACCTGTGCAAAATAATGGAAATCCTGAAAACATGACCTGTTGGGGGTCCATGAGGACTGGAGTTGAGAAACACTG